TATACCAAAACAAAGCCCGCATTTCGTCTTGCCTTCACCTCACCTCGAGCCTCATATGAAAGCCGGTTCATTCGATCATTTACTTTCATCCCTGTGACCGCAACCGAGGCCGCGCAAAACGTCGTGAACCAACCCTCTCTACCCGCAATCATTCGGAATCCGCCTCGTGCCGGACCTCCTCACGTTACGACGGTCTACTCGCCACTCGAGGATCGTGTACTTCTCCGCCACCCCACGTCTGCTATGAGGATGCATGATAGTTGAGCTGCGGAGATGGGGGACGATCAGAGATACTCGTCTACCATGGGGAAGACGGCCTGATTATTGGCCGATTGTGCCGGTTGTTGTCGTCGCTCCCCGGGATCTCTAGTATAGCCCGCGTATATGTCTCCCGCCCAGCGATTCTACGGGGAATGATGTACGCTGTATCAGCTTTCCAACTCTGGGTTGCAAGCTTGCTCGATATGCAGAGGATGCACTCGGGTTTGATGGACGGATGGATGGAGGGGTGGGTGATCGCTGTCCAGGTGGGAGGAGAAGCTGCTGATGTTGGTTCGGGGACGGACTCGGTCGCCGAGTGTCTGTTTTCGTCGGCATGTGTTGGATCGTTCAAGCATGATTGTGCCGAGTCCTGTAAGAATCGGAAGATGCTACTGGAGCACATCGCTGCGAATTATCAGTGCGACCGGACGTGCTCAGCTGGTTGATCACCATCTAGCTATCAAATGGCTTGCCATGAATCGCCTTGACGTAGATCATGATGTTAGAAAATGATCACCAACATCCAATGGCGACATGATGTAGTGGTTATCATGCCTTCTTCACATATCAGATTGTGGAAACGGAGGATGTCGTGAGTTCGATCCTCACTGTTGTCATCTTTTTGCACATCGTCACATGGCAGCCTGGCAATGGTTTCCTGCATTCTTTTTGTCGCCTTCTATCGCTTCACCCTATGCCTAATGCGTGCTGATGGACGCGCTTCCTCGGTGCACGAACACAGCGACGGGTCCTGACCCATCTGCCTGGGATGCCTTGTCAGTGGGACTGCAGTGCACACTTCGCGGCACCTGAGAACCCATGAGAAGGCGTCGCACATGTACCAACGTCACGCTTCGTAGCCTATACAAAAGTCTACGCCCCGACTATCCGAGCTTCCCCACCGAAGAACCTCCTCATATCCTCCCTTGTCCCCATTCGATACCTCACCACCGGCACCGCAGAGTTTCGGTATCGCTTGACGTCCAGGTGATGGTATACCACAGCATTCGCCCACCCGCAGGGCATCGCCGCTCGGAGTTGATCGAACGAGGTGAACGGCATCGTATTCGTACTCGTGCAGGGTGTAAAGACCAGCTCGCATGTTTCGAGGCGTTCATGATGCTCTGCTAGCTGGCGAACGCACCTGGTTATCTCGTGTGCCAGGAGGATGTTGTCGTGCTCGACCGACTTGATTTGAAGCACGGCTGGTATGCACAGAGCGCGGACTTGGAGTGTGCGGAGGTTCGCCAAGTGATTGAAAGAAGGGAGGAGCTACGGAGTAGAAGGGAGTAGCATTCCACATCAGTTGGCCAGTATCCGTCAAGCGACTGCGAGCGAACGATGTAAGTGGAGCAGCGATTCACCTCATTTATAAACCAATGCTTGTCGAATTCCACCAAAAGGTCCAACCTCAACTCTTCCATCGTGTTTGCAGGTCCATCGTTCTCGGAGGTGGGTGCTCGTATGTCCAGCGTCATATCCATCCTGGAGGCATTGTCATGTGCTCGTCTATACTTGGTATGTGGCACGCCGATGGGTTCAACAGATAGATGGCCACTACATTTGATGATGAACGATGCTTGCTCGCATTCGCTATCGTCGGCGTCTGCAGATGACGAATCATCGGACCGGAAGAAGCATGATGCTAATAAGTAGTAGCACTGAATGCAGGAGCCACCCCCTATAGTCATACATTTCGCGAGAGAAGATGAGAGGTGATCTATTCTTCTGATATACACTCTGGTCCAGTTCCGTCCTGATACAATTGCAGCCCGTAGTGGTCTTTACCGTTGCAGCCGCCGCCGAAAGGCTCGCTGAATAGTGTTGTACTGCAATGAGACCGAAATACAAATAGAAATACCCCTCGTCAGTCACCGGTGGTGTGGAATCAATCCCAAACTATGACCAGACTAATCAGCCTTACTGATCCCACTGATAACAAGACATGGCTTACCGGTTCTGGAACTTGTGCGGCACGATTGCTTACACGAACTTGTTCGCAAGACGAATGGCGTTGATTCAGTCTTTCGCTTTGACTCGACGCACATGGGTCGGCTTGGAAGGAGGAGGAATCATCATTCCTACATCCTCGCTCCACGAATCTGTCGGACCGGCCAGGCGTTTGAGGATGTAGTGACTTTCGCCGATGTTCTCGATGGTGAAAAGGCCCCGGTGCAGCAGATCGAGGATGCGCTTGCGCTTTCCGACGACCACTTGCTCTCTCGACCGGTCAGATGGCTTGGTCGCGATTTACGATTTACAAGCATACTCACCCAGGGAAATCTGCTTTGGTTTTCTGCAGGGCTTTCCGTTGCCTCCTGATGTTCAATCAGTTAGAGGAGCGTCGAGAAGTGGAGCGATCTGGCTTATCGTCTCGCCTCCACCCCAGCTTTCACACCCCGTGATGTACATTTCCTGAACATAACCATAACCTAATTATCGTCCCATTACAATGTCCCCGACACAACTCCCGCCGTTTACCAGTCTATGCATCCCTCTCTTGACACCCGCCAACCGGTCCGCAAAAAGCACGTGCGTCGCTCGCCTACAGGATCACACATCTGCAGCCTCCGCCATGCGAGTCATCCGCCTTTGCCCTTGCAGGCTTGGGTGTGCCGATTCCGTTACCGACTGCTCCTCCGGCACCTCCTGCGGATGTCATGACGCCGTTCTGAGGCGGATATGTCTCCTGCGTTTGGTGAAGTTAAAATGAGGATGAGTCGCAAGGAGAAAGAGAAGGGGAAAGGAACTTGCCTTGTTGTATCGTCTAATAGCTCGAACTAGTTCCATGAACACCTCGTCAACATTGATCCGTTGTTTCGCTGACGTTTCAATGCACACAGCCCCGAATTGCTTTGCTAGGTTGGTACCCTCTATTGACACACTGGTAAGCCCACGTCCGTTTGCGGATCATAAGCGACGTACCTTGAGCGTCTACCTGACGGTCATAGTCCAGATCACACTTGTTTGCTACGACGACCACTGGGAAATAATCCTTGTCCTTGACCTGCAAGAGAAGTCGGGTGAGCTGTAGCCTTAGATAGCCATCCACTATCGCGTACCCTCAAGATCTGTTGGTGGAATACGGAAATCTCGTCAAAGGATGGTCTTGATGTGATGCTGTACACGAGTAGGAACCCTTCTCCTGTGCGCACTAGATGACACAAAGGTTGGCATTAAGCCACATCGGATCGGGACGAAGCAGGACACTAACTGTATTGCTCTCTCATTGCGCCGTACTCTTCCTGTCCAGCCGTGTCCAGCACGTCCAGCAATGCTACTTCTTCATCAATGAAACATTGCTTCCTATACGAGTCCTCTGTGATCGAATGGGTTAGCTCAGCGTGTCTAGAGGAAATGGAGATTTAGGCTTACCGATCGTAGGGTCATATCTTCGGTCACGAAAGAGGCACAACATGCATGAGTTTCTATCTATCCACTTTATACTCATCCTGAACTTACTCGTCTACAAACTACAAGAAATACGAGTGTCAGATTACGTCAAAGTGCATGTGCAACAGCGCCGACTTACATGTGACTGAATGAATTGAATGGTAAGGGCAGACTTGCCAACACCACCACCTCCTACTACCACCAGCTTGTATTCCCGCAGGAATTGTGCCTTTAGGATACCGTATTAGGGAAGAGTCGAGTAGCGAAAAGTTACACATGACGAGACGTACCTTGGACATCTTGTGGTCTCGCCTGCGTTCCGATGCTGACTCGCAATACGGTCTCCTACGTTGGTTGCTCTATTTGTTCAAACCGGCGTGAACCAGAGCAAAGGTTGCAAGAGTATAAGAGGTGCAAGGCAGTATTGAACTTGTGGATGAATAGCTGAGTTCCGAAACTGGAAGGTTGAAGCCGTTGTTTGAGGATGATCGGGATCGGCACGGGTTCCAACTGACCGGTGGGATGAGTTTTGGATGGCGAAGCGACTTGACGAGGAGCGAGGAGGATTTCGAAGAATCCCGGAAGACGAAGCTTTATCTCAGCAATGCTGTTAGGACTACAGGAAGGCCAAAGGAACGGTGAAGTGTGGTGACCCGGTGCTGATTGGACAGCCGTGCCAAAGGGATATGACAGGCTGGATGGACGCAACAAGTCGTAAAGAGTCTTCACACAAGAGGTACCGAATACGAATGAAGAAGCAACGAGGAGCAACAAGTCGTCTATCAAGGACGAGTCCGTTATACAAGGGAAATAGGAGGAATAATAACTCTGGTAGCAGCTCTGGTAGCTGGCTCTCTAGCGTGCCTCGATTGTTCCTTGTCTGCCGCGTAAACAAGAGACACCAATATCCGGCGGGAGTGGACGTTACAAGATGGGTGCCGGGTTGCTTGATATTCCACTCAAATGGTAGGCATTTCGACAAGGAGGTAAGGTTCTCCTGTAGAATAGTTACAGCGGTGTTCCGTAGAAATGGCAGTATCGAATGAGAGGCGGAATGTAGGAGGTTGTAGTGGGTAAACAAATCGCGCGCAGTGTAAAGCGAGAACAATAGACTTTTAGCTTTCTGATGAGGCGCATCATTTCAATTTTCTAAAATTCCGTTTCTTGCGACCGAGGTAGTCTCTCAAGCAAAACTAAGCAATATAGACATTCTTCATGTCGCAATCGTAGCAGCTAGGAATTGCATGGCGGACACTGTAAGCTTTGAGCGTGTTATTAACATTGATCAATGACGCAAGACAGCTTGTGCTGGCTATATTTTTGTAAGATTGGCACAAACATCACATGGTCGCCTGATGTAGTGGTTATCATATTCGCTTTACAATGACACGGTTCACCCGAGTTTTCTACGCGAAATGTCGCCGGTTCGATCCCGGCGGTGACCTTTTTTGAGCCTTTTGCTGCTTCTGGAGACTCCTGGGACACTTTCGGGACGTCCTGGGACGTTTCCAGGACGCTAGAAGTCGTTTGGTAACTTTTTGAGCGTTTGGTAGCAAATCGAACGAAACAACTCGAATTTCAAGGCTTACAACTCCATCAACTCCATCAGTCGCTCCCTTGGCTTCTCTTTAACAACAGCAGCAAAAAAAAATGGAATCGAGGATCAAATGGCGGAGTAATGGGCGATTTGCCGTCGCGTCTTGTGGAGAACGCGCGTTCGGAAGCCCCTCACGCCGGCGGCGCTGTATACAGAGAATCGCCTTGGATACCTTGCTACCGAATATCCCCTGGTCCCTCTCATTCTGGCGCTTCTGATGTGGTGTCTTATAGTGATCCTCAACACTATAGTGTTGGTCTGATCGTGTCGGCAAATAGGGAATAACATCCAACGCGACTATCTGTCACGTCTACGCCTATTTATGCCTTACGGAGGTTCCCTCGAGTGTGTAAGCAGCGACGAGACAGCAACAAGAGTCCTGGGAATGCGCACACGGTGATGTGATGAGAATGTATATCCACTCCTCCGATACTCCAGGAGGAGGCTCGGAAGCCTCTCAGGCGCATGCCGTTATTCGTGAACTGAGTCCGGGCCTGCCGATATGCTTGATGCGGCACCTTCGCATCGCGTCGAATCTCTCTATACAAAGTGGCGTGAAGAGCCTTGGCTAAGGGCCTCGAAGATTCTTATACGTCGGCAGTAGCCCTGACCTTTCGTATTGTGAATTACACCCACGATAGCCGATGCGACTGAGTTGTTCTCGCCGTTTTTGTCTCAATTATGCAGTGTAAGCAAGATAGGGACAGTTGGAGCTTGTTCGCAATTGTGGGAGTTCGAGGTGTGGAATCGCGTGCGTGCGAGCCGTGGACAACACCAACGAGGTACGACCAATGTGTAGGAAGAAGCTAGCCCCCCTTATAAAGTAGTGTCCATTACAGATCCATCAAATAACAACGGGACAAGAAACCCTGACATTCCTGCTAACATATTTTGCAACAAGAAACCTACGGAGGTGCCGTCAACATGGCTCATTACAAGCAGGTTATGCTCAACGACTCGCGCCAAACCTGAAATGAAAGACGCTTTGAGATGGTCCTACTGGTCATTGCTGTGTGACGGGTGTTTATCGGAATGAAATCGAAGGGAGAGTTTAACGTTCAATGTCAGTGGTTGTCGATGGGGCGAGGATAGGAGGGAATCATAAGAATACAACAAAACCCGCTGACAATGCCTGTCAGGTGAAAAGCTAGAAGATGGCGAGGTCGCGAAGCTGGGTTCGCAATATGGTGCTATACGACGAAGGTTCACGAAAGACAATCAGCCTTCATACTCTATATTCGATGATAACGAACTATGCAGCAAAACTTACTCTGCAAGACGGAAATCCGGAATGAAGCGATCACAAAAGTTAGCGACCTGATCATCGAGAACTCCCCAACTATGAACGTACCCTGCACCGCTACCATCACCACTTTCAACATGGCTGTATCCGTCGCATTTGTAAAGCTGTTCGCGGTGCCACAAATCAACAAGCGCCCCACTTCTCCTACCACTGAATTCGACTCACTGTGTGTACACCTCCTTCGAAGGACTCCGATTAAGCCCCACAAACTTTCTCCTAAAGTACTCTCTTCCAGCCTCGTACCCTGCCGGCCCAGACGGGCCCTCATAATCCTGGAAGTAATCTGCTATCTGCGAATTCGGGTTCGCTAGTTGTTCTCGAAACACATCCTCTTTATTCAGGAAAAGGATCTGAACAGTCGTGCGAAGTGCGTCAGTATAGCCAAAGGAAGAGAGGAGGTGGGCTGGCGACTTACCATGCTGGTTTTCACAAACCACTGCGAATTACAGATCGAGTCGAACAGCATTAATGCTTCATTCATTTGGTTCTAAACAGGAGCATAAAGCTGTGCGATCAGCCATACAGAAGCAAGCTGCAAATACTGCACGCCGACTCACGGAATCCTTGTCTTCTACCAGAGAAGAATTGTACCCCGACAACGCAACCAAGAAAAGTACCGCCGTGACGTTCTCGAAACAGGATACCCACTGATGAGCGATAAAATGGGTCAACAGATCTGTCGCATTTGAGCAAGAGCGAGCGAGCGAGCGAGCGAGCGAAACTTACTTTTCGCCTCTCAGACCGCTGTCCACCAACATCGAACAGCCTGCGTAGTACAAACTTCTCAATTCAGTAGACTACCCCTACCACGCGTCTGCATGAAAAAAAAACACCCACGAATACGTCAATTCCCCCTCGGAGAACTTTGTCTCTGATATACCAGTCGTCTTTACCCGGATCCTCAGGATATCCTATTCGCACAACGCAGAACCATCAACACCCCTTCTTCACACCGGGTCGGACTTCCAGGGAGCGTACCTGATGCGACGGCTTGAAATCACTCGTCCACAGCCTATCCAACTGCGCGTAAAAGCTACACACGACACGAACCCAACTATCAGCAACAAACGCCATGCTAACGATACTACTAACAAAGTAGGGTCGGGAACGCACTAGGGCAAACTCTCCGGCAACGCATATTCGTTCCCCCTCGAACACGCGAGCTGTACTCCTGGGTCGCGCCATAACAGTTCGAGTGGTTCCCGGTATTCGAGCGGGAAGGGTTGACCTTGACGTATCTCTGGGGCATCGTCCACGAGGGCGACGAATTTCTGCGTAGACAAAGTGCGGAAGGTGTCAGCGTTTGGTTAGGATAGTGGAGGCGAGAAGATGAAGGGAGTCCTTACCCTGTTTGAAGAGAGGACGCTTATCTCCCATTCGTCCATCGCATCAATGATCAACCTCATACCCTGCGTGATATTCTCGAAAACGAGCTGTCTGTAATCTGCACATGCAAAAGCCACAATAACCACGAAATCAAGTCAGTACCCTCCTACCACCTCGACTCATTCAACGGGCATGGAAGCACGGAAAACATAGAGAAGCAGTGAGAGACGCACATTCAATCTCCTCCGGCATAAACGTCACATCATGTATCAACCTCATCTGTTTCAGCACTGTTGATTTCCCACTTGCGCCAGCACCGAGAAGGAGCAGCTTTATATGTTTTGCGGCTTTTCTTTCATCCTGCACTCATCACACGAACGAATAGAGGAAAGGTGAACTAGTCAGCGTCGAGTGCTATATGGTTTTGGCTTGAAGAAGAAAACAAGTGGGCAGGAACGGTGAAACATACCTCCTTGATCAACTTGTCCAGTTCTCGACTCCTTCGTTGTTCCTCTTCATTCCCCTGACCAGCAGAAGACATGCATGAACCCATCTTTCGCTTGTTTGATGTAGTATATACGCAAGGCCTGTTCCGGCGAGTGTGGTCGACAAAGCGTTGAGCTTTGGGTTCGGCGAATGCACGAATGTACAAGCGGGATCCTTTGGCGTTACGTTTCCCCCTTTTCTATGTATGTAGTTGCGGCGAATGAAACCCTACAACTGCGGGTGGGAGCAGCAGCTGACGATGATGATGATGCTTCGAGCGAGATGTGTTTCCCTGTTTTCGGGTCAGAGACAGTAGTCTTGGGCTTGGCTGATTGGAGTGGAATATCAAAATACCGTATGAAAGGATCCCTGGATAACGAGCGGGATTCAACGGACCGGTACAGATGAGCGGTTCGAATGGTTCGAACATGTATCATGTGGGTGCAGGAGGGATCGGTGGGCGGACGGTAGTCGGCCGTATGTTTTGTGTGTGATCGTTGGAAGATTGTTGATGGAAGGGTTTGTAGAAGAAGCCAGGAGAAAGAAAAGGATAGAAGGACAGGATAATAGTGTGTAAGTGACACGTGCCTTATTGAATGCCTTCCAGGAAGCTCTCGGTTCGGTATGGTGGTGTTGAACGAATGGCCAAGGCTCGGAGAGGTGGTGGAGAGGCATTCAGCGACTTACGAGTAAAGACCCTCTACAAGAAGAACTACGATGAAATTCTTCCTGTCTCCGCTGCCTAATTGATCTCTGTATCTTCCGACTTTTGATCGCAAACCACACTCCTGAATTCGGTGGTGGTCGAACGACGAGTGGATTGTAAAGAGATCCGAGCGGATGAGTGGTCGTGATCTCCTGTAGCGAGGCTCAAAATATCGAAACTTGTACGCGGTGCAGCGAAAGCCCTGCAGTATTTAGCTAATCAGCTTGGCTTGTGATGCTTGATCCATCCTTGGCTTACGGATCTGGTGGATGCTGGAAAGACGATGATGATGATGGGTATATACCGTCGCAAGTCCTCCCAAATCTACGAACAAGGCGTCTTCCGCTAGTAGATACTTGCAGATGATCGTTCATTGTATTGTCCTACTGTCTACCGGTCGCGCGGTAAAGCAAAAGCTTTGGCATGGCTGGCGGAAAGGGAGAACAAAAGACTTTTCTCGCTGGAGTAATGAACAATAGGATTTTTGGTGGGGAATACGTTGATAGACTTTCCATGCTAACGTGCACGGTGGGGGCTTGATTTCCACGGATGCAAGTCCGAGGGAGGTTCCTTAAATTGAAATTTGGTGATATCGATGTTGGTATTATTAGCTTGTGGTGCGTGCGACGGGGAGAATCATATCATCATTGAGTTGGGTAGCTAGTTGGGTCAAGCTGTTAGATAGTAAGTCTGCCGAGGAACAATACCGTGAATTACTCCCTCATCGCCGTCCAACTACGTTGCTTACCGACTAACGACGAATGGACCCCCCCTGATTCCCCTGATGACGAAAACCGAAAACATGAAACATCGGAAGCAAACAAGGACGACGCGATTGCTTTCCGCACCGAATTTCAACTGCGAGCAACCACCATCCACCATTCAAGACGGATTTCATAATCCAGCTACCGACCCTTTCCCCTGAACCTCCTTCCTCAGACAACAGAGCAAAACGATGCCCCTCCATTTCCTCGGATCAATAGCGGAAACAACATCGATCTCACTAAATACTGTCTTTTACTGCACA